TTTTGTTTTGTCTACTTTCACATACAACAATAAGTTTGGTCCTATCATCGATTTGATCCTGAAGTAGTAAATATTTTAAAAGAGGTTGAGGCATCACAATTTGATGTGATTAATGCTCATTCAGATAATTATGTTAGATTTCCTGAATGATGAGAACTTTTGATAATATTAATCCATTCCCTGAAATGAATGTGACAATATTAATAAATCTGGTAAATATGAACGCGCTCTTGATGTGAATATTATTACAATTCACCTCCAGAAGAGTTAATATAATTGAGAGAATATATACTCAATATTTCGTACTTTAAAGTTTCTCCTGAAGAAGTAACACAATTGTAATTGCCTCCTGAAGTAGGAAAATATTATGAAGAAGAGTTTTCTTGTGCTTAAACAATTGTTTTACATTGTTTATTTGATTGTGATTTTCTCTCATGATACCAGAAGTGTATGGGCAATATTTGATAGTACAAAATGTATCAACAACTCCTGAAGAGCTAACTGTTTGCCTAGAAGACACATGACACCAGTAATGTCCGATAAATATTAGATTGTCGATAATAAATGAAGGCTCTCGAAGATCTTATATACAAATATGTCATTCATATTATATTATTATGGTCAAAACATATGTTGTATTAAACATGAAGTTTACTAATACAAATGACTATCATATTGAGACTATAAATGACTGGAAGATTGAAAATTTTCATGTTTCCACAATCATAGGGGATAAAATAATATGTATGTGAGAAGTTACCCGCCTTATTCTTCAATTTATATTATATCATGTGTCACAGTAAATCAGAAGTTTACTAATGCAAAAGCAGTTACGGTAAACCAGAAGTTTACTAATGCAAAAGTTTATGCCATAGTAAACCAGAAGTTTAATAAGAGATAACACATGTCATGATAAACTTGAAGTTTTCATTTGCCATTTTTGAATGAGCTATTTAAGAATTCAGATAAGCATATATTGAAGCACTAGAAGATTCTTCAAGAATTCTCCTGTGTTGCTTGTTCTCATAATAAATTGATTATACCAACTAAAGTTGGGACTAAGACCCCTGATTCTAAAATATATAAAAGGTGAATATGGGCTCATTCACCTATCATGTGAACCACTTATAGATGCATATATAAGATGGTTACATGTATGTTTATTGTCAACCTGCAGTTTGATATTTCAGATTGCTTTTCTCAATTAAGAGCATAACTTTCAAATTATGAAATCAAGACAATTCATCTTGATAATGTTGGTTTTTATCCAAGCTGGTTTAGCATTGAATACCTCCTACTAATAGCTAAACTATTTCTTATGAGAACAAAGTTTCATGTGTTGGTCTAAGATATTCTAAATTGCATACAACAACACTTGTATGCATCAGGCCAACAATATATGATAAAGTCCTCCCCTCACAATTGGTTTAGGATTAGAAATCAAATATTTTTACTATCTTTTGATGTATGGTATATGATTAATTTCTCTACCACAATACACAAAGATATGTTTCTCAAAGAAGATTTTGGGGATATATGTTAATTTTTCTAACATTTGGGGGATGGAATAAACAGCTGAAAAATATGCTATATGAATCGAATTATTATTAATATGATCCTCACTTAGAAGATAATTCAAGTCAAATGCAAGAAGCATTTACTGATCTAAAATTTAATATCATATTTCAACTACAAATGCTCCTATTAAAATCAAAGTCCCTGAAGGATAGAGTTTACTATACGCATGAAGCGTGGTAGACCAATCGGTTCCAAAGGTAACAATCCTTGAAAAATGGTAGGAGCTAATGATCAAAATGATCATAATGAGGAGGAAATAAGCTTTAGAAGAGCCCACGACATAACATTTCATGAAACTCCCGAAGAAGTTCAGGTACCTGAAAATAAAGAAAGTGATGAGATCTCAACAAGTTATGTTGCTTAAGAACTGACACAAAATGATCGTCGACGATATATTTGATACAAAATAGTGCATAATATTGTAAAAAATTGTGAGGATCGGACCAGCAGTCCAGACACTTGAAGATGTCATACCATTTAGATACAAGTCTTAACCTATATGACTTATTTGATTAAATCTCTATGAAGATCCTTGAAGGATTGAAAATGCCTGAAGCATATAATTCAAAGTCTTGAGAAATGTACTCGATCAAATTATAAAGATCTTTGTACGATTTAAAGCAATCAGTGCGCGTGTGGTATAATCGCCTCGGTAAATATTTGCCGAAAGAAGATTACATAAATGATGTTATTTGTCCATGTATTTTTATAAAGAAAATGTCATTAGAATTTGTTATACTTACTGTTTATGTTGATGACATAAAATTTGTTGGAACTCCAGAAGAGCTCCAAAAGGCAATTGAATATCTTAAGAAAGAATTTGAGATGAAAGATCTTGGAAAAACAAAAATTTGTCTTTGGTCTGCAAATTGAATATTTAGCAAATGAGATCTTTATCCATTAATTTACCTATACAGAAAGGGTCTTTAAACGCTTTTTCATGGACAAAGCGCACCCATTAAGTACATCAATGGGTGTTCGATCACTTGAAGTGAATAAGGATCCGTACCGACCTCCAGAAGAGGATGATGAACTCCTTGGTCCTTAAATACTCTATCTTAGTGTAATTGTTATGCATTTATAGGTGGTGTTGATCGTATTGGTTATGCAGATACAAGATTAGAATGCAGAGACTCAAATATTTGAAACAAGGTTTTCATCAGGAGGAGTAAAATACGCGATGCACTCTTTTTTTCCTTACTAAGGTTTTTTCCCATAGGGTTTCCTTATAAGGTTTTTAATGAGACACCTAACAATGCGTATTACTAAATATGTGTACTTTTTTTCCTTCACTAGGATTTTTTCCTACGTGATTTTTCCTAGTAAGGTTTTAATGAGGCACATTATCTTTTAATGAACATCCAGGGGGGAGTGTTATAAATATATTGTATTATGGATGTTCATTTAGTACTCCATTGTAAATAAGCTTCCTGAAGAAGCTTATCCATATGGGACTCCGCCGTAAATATGTTTATCTATTTAGTACTCTATTAGAAATAAGTTTCCTAAAGAAGTTTATTACTTCGGTACCCGGTTATGGATAAACATTACCCCCAGTAGAAGATTATCCATACCGGGTATAATAAGCTTATCCTTTCGATACTCCATTATGGATAAATATTACCTCAGGTAGAAGATTATCCATACCGGGTATAATAAGCTTATCGTTTCGATACTCCGTTATGGATAAACATTACTCTCGGTAGAAGATTATCCATACCGGGTATAATAAGCTTATCGTTTCGATACTCCGTTATGGATAAACATTACTCTCGGTAGAAGATTATCCATACCGGGTATAATGAGCTTAGTCTTTCAGTTCTCCGTTATGGATAAACATTACCCCCAGTAGAAGATTATCTATACTCGGTACAATGAACTTATCCTTTCAGTACTCCGTTATGGATAAATATTACTTTCAGTAGAAGATTATCCATATTTGGTATAGTAGCAGCTTACACAGCAACTTACAGTAGCAGTTTACACAACAACTTCCTTTCTTCTATAAATAAAAAAGATTTTAGTTCATTATGTACATCAATTTTAATCCGAATAATATATCAGTTTCTCTATATTTGTTTTTACTTTAGAGTGTTTATTGAAGTTTCTGCCTAGCTAGCGTGACCCCAAAGCACGTACGCCAATATCTTTATCCTATTTCTTAATTTCTACCTCCTCTTGTTTTCTTTGTTTTGACTCTTATTTTTTAATCTTAAAATACTGTTCAAAAAAATAAATTTAAATACTGCCACGCAATTCTAAACGTGCTATCACGTGCCAGAGCCCAGAATGTGTAGATTATTCAACTTTGTGATCACTTTTATGCAATGAAAGCTTATTCGGCAAGGAATTTAACCATTTAAGTTAACTTCATATATATTAAATATATACACTGGTTGTTCCAATAAAAAGAAAACAAAAAGTTATATTCATTCGTGAATACATCATATTTTATTGTCTATATTTAACTTGGTAATGGATCTGAATTGTCATTTAATTCATGAGAAAAATACTAATTGTAATAGTGAACTAAAAGTTCTGAAACTTTTAGAAAACTAAAATAAAAAATATATCACATAAAATTGTGCTAATGGTAAACATATTTTTAAGCTATTTATTTTAAATCATATAGTGCAATCAGTAATGGAAAAGAAAAGAAGGACAATAGAATTGAATCAACAGCTACAACGTGATAACCTTGTACTAACAACTTGTTTGGTTACCTATTGTATATTTGTATTGTATCGTATTATTACTTTAAATATAATGTTTGTTTTGATTGTTACTTAAATTTTATTATATTGTATCGTTAAATTCGTCGTTACGTAACGACGAAAAGTGTCATTTTATGGAACGACAAATTTGATATGGTGGCATCGTTACCTTGCTTTTTTTTCCTCATCTTGCCCGTCCTTCTTATAAATAATCATATTGCCCTACTCTTTTATATAATAATTCTACTATGTATCCGTTTTTTCTTAGTAATATTGCAGGTTTATTTCTCATATTGTTGGTGCGTGACATCATGAAACAATAGCAAACGATACCAAACAGTGTATTTATCAAACAATACAATGCAAAACAATACGATACATTAAATAACGACATGTAACAACAATCCAAACAAGCTGTAAACTTCCAGTTTATATATATATATATATATATATATCATTTCAATAAATAAAAAATCGAAAACAACTATTTGAAATTTTAAAAATCAAGAGACATTAATATCTTTTCTTCTCAATTCTACTTTATCTATCTATCTAATAAAAAATTAAAGAAGACAAAAAATAAAAGGGAACTGACCCCAAATAGGACAAAACTATACTAGGTTCGATTGTGACTTTTATAAAAGAAGTTGGTCTTTTGTCTGGAACAGGAAAACAGATCTCCTTCTGTCAAATTCTCTTTGTGTCAGCTTTGAGATGTGGACATATGCCACGTGTACATAGACATTAGTTTGTCAAATCTAACGATCAACGACCGTAACAGGTTTCGGGTCAAGTTCCGAATCCGGTTCCTGTTTGTCTACCACCTTCCCAGTTTCATCAATGGCAATGATCATCATTGCATCTCATTTTCATCATATTATTATTCTCTCCTTTTTATTTTACTGTCACTTTCCCTACTTTAAATCTTGTTTTTTCTTCATAATAATTCTGTTCCACATTATCCATTTCAATTGCAAACTGAGCTGCTCTTAATTTTAACAAAAGTCCAGCTCCAATTCTGAATTGATCACCGACCCATTTGGGTTTTCTTTATTAATTGTAAATGTAAATGTCATATTTGCAAATTTGTTGAGGATCCATTGAAACATTTTAGGGATCAATTGGGGTACATCCAAGGGGTTTTGGATGCAATTGATAGAGATACAGCGCCATTAGATGGCGCTGTTCAGACGATTCTTCTATAGGAAGCCGCCGGATCGGCTTCTAGAGATCTCTGAACGGGTCTATGGTATGTTTCTTTTCCCAAATTATGCTGTTTTTTTGTCTTTCTCTGTATTTTTGAGCATCTGAAAATGTGTACATTTCAGTTTTTGAGCCTCTGGAGTACACTTTTGGCTCAGTTTTTCAGTTTTGCCAAAAGTTGAAAAGCTATTCTCAATGGCTTTTGTTTCAGTTCCTAAACAAATGCCAAAATATGAGAATTATCACGAATTGCCAAAATATGCCTAAGGGTTACTCGGTACTTGTGCTGGTGGGAGGTAACAGGTAGCTGGTGGAATAGTATGAGGCGTGCGCAAGCTGGCTAGGACACCATCGTTCATTAAAAAAATAATCAGAAATTGCTTTTAAGTGAATGAGCTGAAAAATAAATAGTGCTGAAAATTCAGCTTGTTTAAAAAGAATGCTGAAATCTGATGCTCCGTTATTTTGGTGGTTTGCCTAGTTATTGAGCTCTGTGGCTTGGGGATGAACTTGCTCAAGATACCATGTTACAATTTTAAGTGATATCTGTAAAGCTTACTATCTTCATCATTTTAAAGGTGGATATAGTTTAGACCAATAACTTACTGTGGTTGGTTTTTATAAGTATTGATGTTTCTCTGTTTTTCCTTTTAATTCACACTTTGTAGTGTTTGATTGTTGCTTCTCAACGGACGCATTGGACGAATATGAGTACAAGACATACATGGGAGGGATTGTAGCTCAGCTACAGGACCATTATCCAGATGCTTCTTTCATGGTTTTTAACTTCAAAGAAGGAGATCAGAGGAGCCAAATATCAGATATATTAACGCAGTATGATATGACTGTCATGGATTATCCTCGGCGGTATGAGGGGTGTCCTGTATTGCCACTGGAGATGATCAAGCACTTCTTGAGATCCAGTGAGAGCTGGCTTTCACTCGAGGGCCAACAAAATGTGCTGTTAATGCACTGTGAGAGGGGAGGGTGGCCCGTACTTGCTTTCATGCTGGCTGGCCTTCTTTTGTACAGAGAACAGTACACTGGTGAGCAGAAGACTCTTGACATGGTATACAGGCAAGCTCCTAGGGAACTTCTTTATGTTTTATCACCTCTGAATCCACAGCCGTCTCAGCTTAGGTATCTTCATTATATCACCAGAAGAACTATTGGCTTAGACTGGCTGCCATCAGATATACCTTTCGCTTTAGATTGTATCATACTCAGGGTCCTTCCTCTATTTGATGGTGGGAAGGGCTGCCGACTGGTGGTTCGTGTCTATGGTCAGGACCCTGCTTCAACAACGTCCAATAGGAGTTCTAAACTCCTTTTTTCAACTTCAAAGACAAAACAACATGGCCGCCTCTACCGACAGGTACTTCTAAGCTTTAAACATTTGACTCTTACAATTAATTAGCTGAAATCTGAAATGTGTTCTGCTAACTTCCCCTCTCCAGGAAGAGTGTGCGCTAGTGAAAATAGATATCCACTGTCGTGTCCAAGGAGATGTTGTTCTTGAGTGCATCCATTTGGAAGATGACCTAGTTAGGGAAGAAATGATATTCAGAGTTATGTTTCATACGGCATTTATTCGCTCAAATGTTTTAATGTTAACTCGTGATGAAGTTGATGTCCCATGGGATGCAAAAGACCAATTTTCTAGGGAGTTCAAAGCAGAGGTTTGGTATCTATTTCTCTGAACTTGGCTCTTTTTTTCATTATCCTTTAACAGGGAACTATAGGAGTTGAAGAATGCTTATTTCTGTACCAGGTACTTTTTTCGGATGCTGATGCTGTTCCATCTATTATCACCGTAGAAGCGCCAGATGAAGATGATAATGAGACTGAAGGTGATTCACCAGAGGAGTTCTTTGAGGTGGAAGAGATATTCAGTAATGTTATTGATGGACCGGATGGAAGAGGGGAATCTGATGCCCATTCAGTTCAGGACAGTATGCAGGATGACGATAGCACTGAAATATGGAAAGAGGAGTTGGAGCATCATGCTTTTCAAGATAGTGCATTTATTGATGTTAATCGCAAACAAGAGAGAAATGCAGATTCTACTCAACAAGCATCAAAAACAAATGGTTTAGCGCATAATGACGACTTGATAAACTCCAAGGCTGTGATTTCTGATGTTTCTAGCGACAAGGACTCTAAAGCAGGAACACATGGGGCTAGTGTCATATCAGAAGAAGTGGAGAATAAACAAGATATAGAAGGCACTTTTAGACAGGAGAGGCAGGGTTCACAACAGAAATTGACTACTGATATCAGTAAAGGAAAGAATGAAAAGGCACCTTCATCTCTAAAGAAACAGCTCGTATCCAACTCCAAACTTGCTGTTGATGGGATTGGACCTAAAGATAAATCTAAACAAAAGGAATCTCAGGGCACTCTGTTGCGACTAGCAAAGCCAAATGCAGTATCTCGGTGGATCCCTTCTAATAAAGGTTCTTACACTAATTCAATGCATGTGGCATATCCACCATCAAGGTATAAGAGTGCTCCACCTGTGCTTGCTGTTACCAAGGATTCTCAATCTGGGTTAAAATCAAAATCGTCATCTCCTCGAGCTTCTTCAGAAGCTAAAATTCCAGCTGGAGCAGGTCGTGTTCCAAAGAAGCACTCTTCATGTCCAGCATCATTAGATATGTCAACAGTCAAGGAGGCACCTGTTGCAATGACCTCTTCATCAGAATCAGTTGAAAGCCAGGCATATGACCTTCAGGAATCCCCTCAAAGTCCCCTACCTTCTTCACTGCCTTCATTTCGATATCCAAGCACTTCATCACTTGAATTGCCTCCTATTCAGGAAGCAAGTAATAACCTACCAGATTCTGCAACGCTACCCGTGTCTTCGTTGGAAACCGATATTACAACGGATTCTTTATCTCACCTATCCTTCCCTCCCCC